GCCCTCTCCGCAGTTCGCTCTCTCCAATTCGGCGGCCATCCGGGCGGAGATCCAACGCTTCGAGTCTGTGCATCCCAATATCTACGCCATCTACGACCTGATCGAGCGCATCGAGGACTTGGCTCTGCAGAACCAGATCCGGGAGCACGTCATCTCCATCGAGGGTGAGTGGACCCCGGGGCTGCGGGTGCCGGGCACCGTGGGCCGGGCCTGGCCACGCTGGCTCTGTCGGGGTCTCCGCGCGCCCGAGGTCTGGGCCACGCGGCTCGCTCGCTTCCTACCCGGCTGCGCAGCAGAGCCGTTGCGCAGGCTTCGCCATGTCTCCTCCAGGGACACATGGGGGCTGGAGGCTGGCCCTGTGGCAGGGGACACGTTTTTTCTCCTCCGAGTGCTCTCGGAGCCGCAGATGCTGCCAGGGCTGGGGCCAGATCCGGGCAGGCCTATCTGGGCTGGGCGGCCGCGGCGGAGGGGCCTCGGAAGGCTGGGAGGGGACAGCGAGGTAGAGGGCATCGGAGTTGGAGTCCGTTAGTGGACGACCGCTTTTCCGGGCCTAGCCCTGCGCCGCGCCCTCTTGGCGCACACACCCCTGCGCCGCTGCGCCGAGCGGACTGTGGGCCGGGTGTGGCGCGGGCGCCCTCGCCGCAGCCGCGTGGGCGGCCACTCATCGGTCGGCGCCTTCCCCCGAGTCCCGCCTGCGCCCTGCCCACGCCGCTGCTCTCTCCAGAAAGGCGCCTTAAGTTGCTGCAGGCCCGGGCTGCTGGCTCGGATAGACCCCCAGGTCCAAGGCACCCCGGGCACCCGTCCACTAGTGCACTGCCCAGAGAGCGCCCATCTCTGGCCTTGTGGACCCTGGGCTTGCGGCGACGGAGGGGCAGGGGAAGCCGGTGGATGCTGCTTAAGTGCCCCCTCGAAGGCGAGCAGATGGGCTTTGCCCTAGGCCATCTGCGCCCTCCTCCGGCTCTCTATTTGAAGAGGGACACCCACCAGCAGGTGGTGGGTTTGGGCCTTCATGAAAATGCCAGGGAAAGTGCCCGGCCTTTTGGCTGATGACCCCTACCTTTTTGCTTGGAGGGGACTCCTGGGATTAAAGGGCTTGAGGCGCTTAGAAACTTTTGTTGTAATCGGTTGAGGGACTTCCTCTGCTCTGACAACCCTCTTGTCACTTTCTTTTTCAAGACTGAGTTAATTGTGAACTAATTAGGTGGCTGGAAAAAAAAAAACCCACCCAAAACTTATTAGCATGGATCCTTCTTAATCAGTGACCTAAATCACCCTTGTGGCTGGGGACTTGGTGGGGACATTTGTCTGAGGAGGGGAAGGCCTTTTTATTTATTTTTTTCCCTTCCAGGTGAAGAGTGTGTGAGAAATGCCATTCTCTACCATTTTACTGCCCGGTTAGAGGAAGCAAGAGAAATTCTGGGTCATCTTTAAGATAAGACCCCAATCCCTTCTGGTGTGTAGAGATAATGGGGGCAGCCACAGAATGGGGGAGGGACGGACCATTGGCTCTAGAGCCCTTCTGGCGAAAAGAGGCAGGAGATGAGCCCAGGTCTGGTCATAGTCTCGCTTAGGTAGCCCACCTAGCCTCAGCCTAGGAGCTCTCAGGTTGGCTGTCTTCTGCTGGGATGTGAGGGCCCTGGTTCCTGATAGTCACTTGAGTTTTTACTGCCATCGTCCAATGCACTACGACAGACAGAATTTTCCCTTTTGGAGCCTGCCAGCTTCCCCATTGTGGTTTGGAAATACCCCACTGTTCCATCTGCTTAGCTGAAATCCTGGGACCCGATGTCTCCTTGTCAGCAGACCCAGCTACTGCTCACACATCCATTCTCCCTCTCAGCATCCTGGTTTTCTGCTCTTGGCAAGACCTCCCACTTCTTTTTTCCCCCTTCCCCCCGCCTTTTCCCCAGCCTCTCTCCCGGAATGCATCTTTGCCCAGCTCTTCTGCAGTGGGCAGGCTTTAAAAAACTTTCTCCAATCTCTGCCCTGAGCCTTCCTGCAGTAGACCCTCTCTCCATCTGCCAAACCATATTGCTTCTGTACTGCAAAACTAGCATCCCTTTCTTTCTTTGAGGGGCAGGGGCCGCACAAACAGGGTGTCTCCCTGGCTGACGCTGAGCCAGGATGGAACTCCTCCTGTCAGGCAGCTGGGCCCGGGTGGAGGTTATTACATAAATGTGTATGTCACGCTGGATGCTAGGCTTTGCGTCCACTAGAGTCTGAGCTCAGTCATGGGAAGGAAGGGCATTTTCAGAGAGGTGATAAAGCGCCTCTGTCACTCTGGTTAATGTTTTGTCCAGTGATGTCTTTGTCCCAGCCCTAAAGGAGACAAAGGTGCTGTGCTTGTGGATCTTTTTGTGTTAAATTGGGAAAATGATGGGCTCAAGTTAGCCCCGCTGCCCACTCTGACTCTTGCCGGGACATCTGGTCCCGAGAATGCCGAGACACTCTGGCGTTTCTTTGTTTCAGGGCAGGGTTTGAGGGTAGGCTATTTCGAAATGTTTCTGTCCCCTCGAAGGCCAGGGGGAGACAGAAGACTTGTCTACTTGGTTTTGGGGGAATGAAAGAAACACACCAAGCACTAAAGACTGAGCCCTAGAAGGCCCACTCTGTGTGCAGCCTCAGAGCTGGAAGGAGCTGTAGGAGCCATCTTCACTGGTGAGGCCGTCGAGGTTCAGGGCAGGGAGTGATCCAGGAATAGCACGGGGTGTTAGGCAGGACACTGACCGCCGCGCTCCTACCTGCAGCTAGAGGCCAGCCTCTCTGACTGGCTGTGTTTCCTGGCTCTGTCCTAGAAAACCAGGGTTCAGTCCAGATGGAGGGAAAGCTTGGGCGCCGGGCCCAGCAAGCCAGGAGCCTGGAGAAGTTGTGGGGAGAATCCACCCTCCAGAGTCTTGCTGTGGGCCTGCACCTGGGGAGGGTGGGCCTAGCGTTTCCCTAGGAGTGCCAGCCAGAGGCTAAGGTGGAGGTGAACGGGATTAGGCATGTGCACCACCTGGTCACCATTGTGAGCGCGGGGATCCAGGCTGTCAGCTGGATGTCACTGGCACTGTTTCTCCTAGTTTATTTGGCTTACCAGGGAAGTTCTTCTTGGGCACCCCAGTCTGTCTCAGCTGGACTGCTGTTTCACTCGCTGGCTCAGTTTTGCAGGTCTGCTGTGGCATGCTGTCAGGAGAGACCAGTCCCTGAGAGGGACATCATGCTTGGTCAAGGAAATTTGCAGAGAAAAAGAGGAAGGCCCTGGGGATGACACAGTGGCCGAAACAATGGGCTTGAACATGAGAGACACTTGTAAGGGTGGCCCGGGACCAGGCTGTGGGTTCCTCTGTTGTGCATGGGGTTGCTGTGGGTCGGGACCCGCTCGATGGCACCTAACAATAACAACAACACTGCCGACTCTGGTTTGGTAACTTTCTAGAGCAGCGGTTCTCAACCTGGGGGTCAAACGATGCTTTCACAGGGGTCGCCCGATTCATCACAGTAGCAAAATGACAGTGATGAAGTAGCAACGAAAATAACTTTATGGTCGGGGGTCACCACAACGTGAGGAACTGTATGAAAGGGTGGCGGCATGAGGAAGGTTGGGAACCACTGTATCTAACGGGACTAAGGAAAAGAGATGTTTGTTGATTGGTTCACCTCTCGGCGGTGCCGGGCCCACTGAGCACCAGCTCTGAGGGTCCCGGCCCCTCAGCCCAGACCCTCAACCAGGCCGTCTCCTTCGATACAGGTTTCCCTTAGGCCTGCCTGCGTTTGGACATGTGTTTGGCATTCCGTACTTGTCCTCGTGATTTGGTCCTGACAACAGCTTTGTGATGGAGAGAGGGCAAAAGCAGTCCTATCTGTTTGGGACTGGGATGCTCTCTCTCAGCTCATCTGTTCAATCTTCCTGTTCCTCGGTGAGGAGCCCCCACTGGGCTATTTATTACATTCTCACACGTGCTGGTGGCTTGGCGAAGCTACGCATTCCTGAGGCTCCCTTCCTGTGGGACGAGACGGGACGGGATGGGGGCCGGTGGCTGGTTGGTGCCGCCCAGTTGGTGCTGACCCAGTGCACCACAGAATGAAACACTTCCGGTCCTGTGCCATCCTCACAGTTGTTAGGTTTGAGCTCGTCCTTGCAGCCCCTGTGTCCGTCCATCTCATGGGGGGCCTTCCTCCTATTTGCTGCCCCTCCGCTTCACGGAGCACGATGCCCTTCTCCAGGGACTGGCCTCTCTAGACCTGCCCAAAGTAACGGGAGACAAAGTCTCACCACCCTCCATTCTAAGGATCACTGTGGCTGTCTTTCCTCCAAGACAGACTTGCTTGTTCTTTGGGTGGTCCAGGGGCCTTTTATGGTCACAGGGGCCCAGGAATCTGCATTTGTAACTTTCCCTGGCAATCAGCAGGTTTGGGGGCTCAGGGCCTGGTGAGCTTATTTAGGTCGTGTCAGATAGGCATGGTGAAAAAGAGCCTGTCCGTGTGGGTGCGAGCAGTCAGAGAAAGCCACGTTTGTTCCACTTACATCTTCTATTAGCTCCTACTGTGTGGCCCAGTTGCATCTAGCACAGTGTAAGCCAGGAAGGAAGAACAGAAAAAGGGGTGGAGGAAAGAGAAAGAGCAGCAGTGACCCTCGATCCCAGGCTTTGGGTTGGACACCATTCCCCCCCACCTCTCCAGGTATTGCACCCAGGTGGAATGGACCAGCCTATAGGAGGCGCCAGAGGGTGGCTTGGCTAGTGGGAGTTGCAAAACCCAGATGTTAAGGAAACCGGGAAAGGTTAGCAGTTTGGTAAGACTTGTCAAGACCTCTTTCCTTGAAAGTCAAAGAAGAGAGATGGGTAGGATGCCCCCGGTTTGGCCACAGAGGAGTCAACAAGATGGAACGCCGCCTCCCCCCACTCTGGCTAATTGACCGAGTGCCATCTCTCTGCCTACAGAAGATACGTGAATAAAACTCTTTGCTCTAAAGTAAGGAGCCCTGTCAGTGCTGTAGGTTAAGTATTGGGCCGCTAACCAAAAGGTGGTCAGTTCAAACCCCCCAGCAGCTCCTTGGGAAAAAGATGAGGTTATCTGCGCCTTTAGGGACACTATGAGTCAGAATCAATTCTGGAAGTGGAGGGTTCGTTCTTAATATCTGCCCACCTTCTATCACGTACTTTTCTCTCTCTCTCTTCATTCA